CTCCTCTCCTCTCCTCCTTGTAGCATCGACCATCTCTCTGCGTGCAGCTTTCTCTCTCTCTCTCTCTCTCTCTCTCTCTCTCTCTCTCTCTCTCTCTCTCTCTCTCTCTCTCTCTCTCTCTCTCTTTCTCTCTCTCTCTCTCTCTCTCTCTCTCTCTATATATATATATATATATATATATATATGCCTTCTGCTGAGAGTCAGGCGCCAATTTTTCCACTATACTCTGAACCCTCAATTTCTCAATCCTCTGCGCAAGGCGCCGCTTTGCTTCGTCCGCGACGCCCGCTGCATTGGCCTCGGCATGCCGCATCAACTTCTGCGCATCTTCAACAAGGATGGTCTTCTCACGCTCCATATTTTGCGCAATTGCCTGCTATTCGGCATCAGAATGCGCGAGTCGGCGTTTGGGCCTCTCCGGCAGCCTGCTCGTTGACCTGCGCCTCAGAAAGAATCTGTTGTATGTGCGCACTCGCAGCCCTCAGCTGCTCTCGATCCTGTCTGTTTCTTCCTATCCTTTCCTGGATCGCAAGATGATGGCAATCGCGCCCCTCCATCGCGATACGCTCGTTGCACAGCCATGCTAGGCTACATTTGGGGCAAACAGTCGAGCATTAAGAACGCAGTGGTCTTCGACGTGAACCCTCCGGTTTGCGCGTTTTCCCGGGGCACCGATTTCCCGCCCGGGAAGGGCGCGTTGGCCCGGCATTCCAGCGAACTTCCCGCATTGAAAAACTGCTGGTGGTTTTATTCGATGGGGTTCGTGGCGAATCAATGGCGTCGAACCCTCTGAAGCCGGAACGCCCGGCCCTGGGGGCCTTACTGGAACGTCCTCTCGCACTATTCAGGGTAGGCGTGTGTTGTTCTCTGATCCTCACACCCCTCTTGGAGGTATCCACATCCATGCTTATTGCCAAATCATCTTGCTCATCCTGAACAACAAGCTCATCGAGTTCTGGCGCTCGATTTCTGCTTGTTCTAGGCAAACAGAAATCAGGTATGTGAAAACCTTGTGATAAAAGCGAAGCATTCAAGTCGTCATTATCACTCTTTGGTTTAGGGCCACCCGCGTGCGTTTTTGGTACGTTTTCAGAGGCCACCCACCCTGCAAATTCTTCGCCGGCACCCCCCCCTGCACCCCGGCACCCACAGCCTCCCGAGACGTCTGGGCATGCCTGCACCCCGGCATCCCCGGCCTCCCGAAGCGTCTGGGCATGCGTTTTTGATACGTCTTCAGAGGCCACCCAGCTTGCAAATTCTTCGCCGGCCCCCCCCCCTGCACCCCGGCACCCCCAGTCTCCCGAGGCCTCTGGGCATACGATTTGGGTACATTTTGAACGGCCACCCACCCTGCAAATTCTTCGCTGGCACCCTTCCTGCACTCCGGCACCCCCAGCCTCCCGAGACGTCTGGGCATGCGTTTGTGGTAGGTTCTGAAGGCCACCCGCGTGCGTTTATGGTACGTTTTCAAGCCACCACCCGGCAAATTCCTTCGCCGGCACCCCCCCGGCTACCCCGGCCACCCACACCTCCCAACACGTCTGGTCATGCCTGCGCCCCGCACCCCCCGCCTCTTCCCGAAGCGGCAGGGCATGCTTTTTGTTACTTTTTCAGAGGCCACCCAGCCTGCCAAATTCCTTCGCCGGCCCCCCCCCTGTACCCCGGCAACCCCCAGTCTCCGAGCCTCTGGGCATAGCAGTTGGGTACATTTGTAACGGCCACCCACCCGGCAAATTCTTCGCTGGCAACCTTCCTGCCCTGCACTCCGGCACCCCCAGCCTCCCGAGACGTCTGGGCATGCGTTTTTGGTAGGTTCTTAAGGGCCACCCGCGTGCGTTTTTGGTACGTTTTCAGAAGCCACCCACCCTGCAAATTCTTCGCCGGCACCCCCCCCTGCACCCCGGCACCCACAGCCTCCCGAGACGTCTGGGCATGCCTGCACCCAGGCATCCCCGGCCTCCCGAGACGTCTGGGCATGCGTTTTTGTTACGTCTTCAGAGGCCACCCAGCCTGCAAATTCTTCGCCGGCCCCCCCCTGCACCCCGGCACCCCGAGTCTCCCGAGGCCTCTGGGCATGCGATTTGGGTGCATTTTTAACGGCCACCCACCCTGCAGATTCTTTGCTGGCACCCTTCCTGCACTCCGGCACCCCCAGCCTCCCGAGACGTCTGGGCATGCGTTTTTGGTAGGTTCTTAAGGGCCACCCGTGTGCGTTTTTGCAGAGGCCACCCACCCTGCAAATTCTTCGCCGGCACCCCCCCCTGCACCCCGGCACCCACAGCCTCCCGACACGTCTGGGCCTGCCTGCACCCCGGCACCCCCGGCCTCCCGAAAAAAACAAATCGAATCAAAAATACGAAAAAAAAAAAAGCAAAGAAAAACAAAAAAACAAAAAAACGAAAAAAAAAAAACAAAACGAAAAAAAATCTAAAAAAAAAAAAGAAAAAAAAAAAAAAAAAAAAAACAAAAAAAATATAAACCGAAAAAAAAAAAAAAACAAAACAAAAAAAACAAAAAAAAAAAAAAAAAAAAACAAAAAAAAGAAAAAATGAAAAAAAAAAATAAACAAAAACAAAAAAAAAAAAAAAAAAAAAAAGAAAAAATAAAAGAAAAAGTCAAAATAAAATACGCGTAGCAAAAAAAACAAAAAGAGATAAACACCCGAAAAAAACCAAAAAATAAAAAAAAAAAGAAAAAAAAAAAAAAAAAAGTTACAAACAAAAAACGCTGGAAAAGACGTCTGGGCATGCGTTTTTGTTACGTTTTCATATGCCACCCAGCCTGCAAATTCTTCGCCGGCCCCCCCCCCTGCACCCCGGCACCCCCAGTCTCCGGAGGCCTCTGGGCATACGATTTGGGTACATTTTTAACGGCCACCCACCCTGCAAATTCTTCGCTGGCACCCTTCCTGCACTCCGGCACCCCCAGCCTCCCGAGACGTCTGGGCATGCGTTTTTGGTAGGTTTTAAAGGCCACCCGCGTGCGTTTTTGGTACGTTTTCAGAGGCCACCCACCCTGCAAATTCTTCGCCGGCACCCCCCACTGCACCCCGGCATCCCTCCTCGAGGAGGAGTAGAGAGGACAACGAACCATGGGTTGAGGAATTGGTGCTCGTTGTTCGATGTATACGTATCTCTCTGGAACCTTACCGGGGGCACCGGCGAAGACGAAGCGAATCCGCCACCGTGCATCTGGGCACCGCATGGGCCTGTCCTCGGATCCTTCTGGGAAGCACAGAAAGCCCCCAAGACGGTCCAAGAAGGCCCCAAGTCGCCAAAAGAGCGTTCCAAGACGCCCAAAATGGCCTCCAGACGGCCCAAGATGCGTCCAGGACGCCCTCCAAGAGGGCCCCCAAAACCAGACATCGTCCCATTCCCTAAGGAAAAAATATACTTTCAGTACATTCACCTCTTGAGTTTTCTATGCCTCCGATACGGCCCAAGAAACCCCCAAGAGGGCTCCTAGACGACCCAAGAGGACTCCAGAGCGGCAAAAAAAAAACAAGACGGCCGAAGAGGGCCACAGGACGGCCCCAAAAGGGGGCCCAGAGGGGAACCCGAACGTAAATTTCGAGCATGCGGCCCCGAGACGCCGATGCCCGTCCGACTTATCGGAAACACGCATACGGAAAAGCAAAACGCGGTCAGCCAAACGCACTAAGCAAATTCGCCTCCCTGAACTTCTCTGGGGTCGGCGGCAGAGGCGGCAGCCTTTTGATATCTATGTCTATCGGCTTCTGAGAGCCAGACTGTGCCAACACCACTTCAGAGGGTCCCTCGTTAGAAGTTCTGGCTGTGCCATTCCTTCCTCCCGAAAGTAATTCCTTGGATCTTTTCTCTCTGAATCAACCGATGAATCTCCTTCTGTCAAAGCGAGCATAATCTCGGATGTTTTCTTACTGGGAAGAATAGGAGTGTTGTGTCGCCTGGCTGAGGCGTTCATACTTGTGTCACGCTCGGAAAGTCCTCGGTCTTCTATTATTCCGAACGTTCCTTCTTGAGATCCCATGATCCGCGAAACGAACGGCTGTGCCATCGCTTCGGCTGATAACCTGTCTTTTGCCTGCATATTCATAATCCTTGCAATATGTCCCGATGACGTCTCATAGTCCATGGGCTTCACAGAAGACGTGGGCAATACATGATAATGCCATTAAGCATGCACTGAGATGACACTGAAGGGAGGAGGCCGACCCGCCGGCCGACGCGCGCGGCCGCGCTCCTTTTCCGCTACCCCAAAACCACAAAAAGGGTAGCTGCGGGAGCAGAGCGTCCAAGACAAGAAGAAACGCAGACAGTACAAGAAGAGAAGCAGACAGTGAGGTGCAAGCAGGACGAGTGAAACGGGCAGGAACCTGGTGGTGCGGAAGGGTGCATTGACTGCCACTGGGGCCTTCGGTGGAGCACACTGTGGGGCCACGAAACGTCTAAGGGGTGCGCCGAAATGGAGGTGGAACTGCATGCCTCTTCCTCCTCCTCCTCCTCGAACTTGACGGGTCAGTCGTTCAACGCCAAATCGCGGTAGATTCTCCCACCGAGCCTTTAGATGCAAGGGAGGCGTGTTCCTGGAATGAACTGTCGCCTGCCTTGGTCGACCCAGGGGGCGTAGTGCTCTGAGGAGAGACAAACAAGTCTCGTCGCAACCAGACCAACCACGTGGCTACTTATGAACATGCGACTGTGCTGCGGGCCCGAAACTCATGCTGTCCCTCAATAGCAAGACTTCTCCGCGAAGGATGTCTGCTAACAGCCCCCGAGGGAATACAACGCCCCGAACCTACAAATGGTGGCATCTCGTGTTTACTTCCGCCGCCTTCCGCCAGCCGTCCGCCGGTAGAAATGCCAACGTGTTGCCTCGGCCACCTTCCGCCGGCCTTTCGCCACCATTCGCCGAGGAAGAGATGCCAACTGCTAGTTCCCTGGAAGGCGAAGCCCTTTCTGGTACTGGCCAGACGGAGACGCGGTGGGCAAGCAGCCGTGTTTCAGAAAGAGCAGCGTCGCCGGGCAATAACGCACACCCAGCAGGCACGCGCGCAGCCGCGTCTCGGTGTCCCCAGGGTTGCGAATGCGCAGGACGAGCTCGTCGATAACGATGTCAAGCCCGCCCGACACCTTAACTGAATGCAAGTCGGTGCCCACAACATCCGCCTGTCGCCACAGCCAAAAGAACCGGCCGACAGCCAGTGAGCCCCCGCTCTCCTGCAACTGCCGCATCTTCCCAGACTCTGCCCTGCCCATGCAAAGTGCGTGTGTCTGTGAAACCTCCCGAGGGAACGCGCGCAGGTGGCAGCAGGAAAGAAATCAAGGCGATGCGAGAGCGACGGCGAGAGAGACAGAGAGAGACAGAGCAACAAACTTATCCCAGAGCGACCCTACCTAGGAGTTGGAGCCCCGAGGAGAGCAATATTAGTAGTAACGGTAAACGCCGTCCTCCTCCTCCTCATCGTCGTAGTTGTAGCAGTAGCAGTAGTAGTAGTAAGTAGTAGTAGTAGTAGTAGTAGCAGTAGCAGTAGCAGTAGTAGTAGTAGTAGTAGTAGTAGTAGTAGTAATAGTAGTAGTAGTAGTAGTAGTAATAGTAGTAGTAGTAGTAGTAGTAGTAGTAGTAGTAGTAGTAGTAGTAGTAGTAGTACTAGTAGTAGTAGTAGTAGTAGTAGTAGTAGTAGTAGTAGTAGTAGTAGTAGTAGTAGCAGTACAGCTTAATACCTACATCTAAATCTAGACATACATCCACATCAACACCTACAGCTACATGTACATGTACACATGCATGTACATCTACATCTACATCTACAACTACACTCGCATCTACATCTACATCTACATGTACACCTACATGCACATCTACATCTACATCTACACAAACATCCACATCTACACCTACACCTACATCTAAACCTACATATACACTTTCGGATTGATTTTGCTTTTGCTTTGCATTGCCTTTGCTATTGCTCTTGCCTTTGCTTTTGCCTTTGCTTTGCTATGCTACGCTAAGCTATGTTATGCTATGCTATGCTGTGCTATGCTTCGCTGTGCTATGCTAAGCTAAGCTGTGCTATGCTATGCTGTGCTATGCTGCGCTTTGCTTTGTCTTGCTTTGCTGCGCACCCAGCGACAGCAGGCTGTTCAGCACTGCTCGCGGCTCCTGCAAGAGCTGCAGGCTGTTCAGCACTGCTTGCGGGGGCTCCGGTCCGGCCATCGAGGCTAGCTCGGCACCTGTCGCACATTGCTTTTGCTTTGCCTTTCCTTTGCTTTGCTGTTGCTTTTGCTTTGCTTTGCTTTGCTTTGCGTTGCTTGTGCTTTGCTTTGCTGTTGCTCTGCTGTTGCTTTGCCTTTGCTTTGATGCTATGCTATGCTATGCTATGCTGAGCTATGCTATGCTATGCTATGCTGCGCTATGCTGCGCTATGCTGCGCTATGCTATACTATGCTGTGCTAGGGTATGCTAGCATGCGCTATGTTATGCTAGACTATGCTATGCTATGGTATGCTGCGCTGCGCTATGCTATGTTATGCTATGCTGCGCTATGATATGCTATGCTATGCTGCGCTATGCTATCCTATGCTAGGCTATGCTATGATATGCTATGCTGGGCTATGCTATGCTGTGCTATGATATGCTGCGCTGTGCTGCGCTATGCTATGCTATGCTATGATATGCTATGCTATGCTATGCTATGCTGCGCTATGATATGCTATGATATGCTATGATATGCTGCGCTATGCTGCGCTATGCTGCGCTATGCTGCGCTATGCTATGCTATGCAATGCTGCGCTATGCTGCGCTATGCTGCGCTATGCTGCGCTATGCTGCGCTATGCTATACTATGCTATGCTAGAGTATGCTAGCATGCGCTATGGTATGCTAGGCTATGCTATGCTATGGTATGCTGCGCTATGATATGCTATGCTATGCTGCGCTATGCTATCCTATGCTAGGCTATGCTATGATATGCTATGCTGGGCTATGCTATGATGTGCTATGATATGCTGCGCTATGCTGCGCTATGCTATGCAATGCTATGATATGCTATGCTATGCTATGTTATGCTGCGCTATGATATGCTATGATATGCTGCGCTATGCTGCGCTATGCTGCGCTATGCTGCGCTATGCTATGCTATGCTATGCTAGGGTGTGCTAGCCTGCGCTATGTTATGCTAGGCTATGCTATGTTATGCTGCACTGTGCTATGCTATGCTATGTTATGCTATGCGGCACTATGCTATGCTGCGCTATGCTATGCTGTGCTATGCTATGCTATGCTAATGCTGCGCTGCGCTGAGCTAAACTGAGCTAAGCTAAGCTAGCCTAGGCTAGGCTAGGCTAAGCTAAGCTAGGCCAGGCTAAGCTAAGCTAAGTGAAGCTAGGCTACGCTAAGATGAGATAAGCAACGCTAAGCTAAGGGGACGCAACTGGGGGAACCGCGGGGCGGATCCTGGGGGAACCGCCCGGGCCAGTTCCCACTGCCCGGCCCCTTTAAGCTAAGACAGTAAGAACCCTTCTAGGCAGAGCCTAGGTAGGGAACACAGGCGAAAGACCCAATCAGATGCAGGTGCGGGTACCGCAAAGCAGGTAGCAAGAGTCCCAATGGGGCCAAGACATGTGTGAGGGGTGTGTTGAAATGGGTATAAAGCGGGCCCTGCCGCTGGGGCCTTCCGTGTAGTTCCCGTTGGGGTCACGCAACGTGCGAAGGTGTGCCGACTTGGGTGCGGGGCTGTCATGCGGACGCCGTTAGGGCCTTCGGCGGAGCTCCATATAGGACCACGAAGTGCGGAGCCACCATGCGGAAGCCACTGGGGCCTTCGGTGGAGCTCCCTATACGGGGCAACGAAAAGTGTGAGGGGTGTGTCGAATCGGACGCGAGTACGCCATGCAAACTCTGCCGCTGGGGCCTTCGGTGGAGCCACCAGTGGTGCTTGAATCAGCAGGGGGGGGGGGGGGGGGGGCAAATGGGCGCGGGGCCGCCATGAGGAACTTGCCGCTGAGGCCATCGGTGATGCTTCTTCTGGGGCCAAGAAGCGTGCAAAGGTGTGCCGAAGTGGGTACGGGGCCGCCATGCGGACTCTCCCGCTGGGGCCTTCGGTGGAGCTCCCGGTGGGCCTACGAAACGTGTGAGGGGTGTGCCGACATGGGTACGGGACCGCAATGCGGTCCCTGCCGCTGAGGTTTTTGATCCCGCTCCCTATGGGGCCATTGAACGCGCGTGGACGCCGGGCCGCCATGCGAACGCAGCCAGTCGGGCTTTCGGTGGAACTCTCTGTGGGGCAACTGAACGTGAGAAAAGTGTGCCGAATTGGGTGCGGGGTCGCCATGCGGACTCAGCCACTGGAGCTTTCGGTGGACAGCCGCTATGCTGATCCTGCAGCTGGGGCATTCGGTGGGGTCCGTATGGGACCACGGAACGTGTGAGTGGTGACGAAGCGGTAATAGGAGTCATGAGAGCTGCGAAGCACATGAGGAGGGAGGAGGAAAGGGGAGGAGGAAGAGGCAGGAGTGAATGAGGCGGGGCACCGTAGCCATTTTGGCTCAAGGGGCATGCTCCTGAACTTCATAACCTCTCTCAAAGGCGGCCACAGAGGGCCAGGTTGGGCGCGCAGCCTCCATTCCCACGGCCTTTCTTGCTCAGGCCCCCCTCGCCCGCCTTGCGCGATGGGCAAACAGTGGTAGTCATGGCGCCGCCAGGGGACCGACTGGTGGAACGAGAACGACAGCACGAAGAAGAGGAATAACAACCAGAAGTACGTCGTTTGCGAGATGTGCAGCCGCTGGAAGTGGAGCGACAAACTCAAAAACATCCCGCTCTGTGTATGTGGACGCATGCTTGGTTCTCCTTCTCGGGCACATGTGGATGAGCCGCGCTCCACCCTGTCCCAGCTCTTCGACCTGCTGGCCAAGTCGGGCCACCAGCTCGAGCCCGGGGCGACCGAGGCTGTCCAGTCCAGGCCAACATGTCCGCCGCGTCCGCTCCCACAATCAAGGACTTGTCTGCGACCTTCCAGATCCGCCAGACTGCCGTTGAACGCGATGCCAAGCATGCCGCTGCAACACATCAGCAAGTCCTGCACCTCGAGGCTCAGCTCGTCGAGGCCAATAAGAATTCCGACCCAGGCCGCCGAGGTCCTCGCCCAGGCCAAGGCCATGGCAGCCGCAGCAGGTCGAAACTACGCAGCAGCAGTTCACCAACATGGCGAGCCTCAGGGAAATGATGATAAAACCATGTCGCAGGTGTCCGACCTCAGTGACATCGGTGACATCAGCCCAGAGGACATCAACGAGATACGAGGCCTGGTTCAAGGCCGACCCAAGCTCCAGCGCCTTCCCCGGAAGGTTGAGAGTCGCGCAGCAAAGCGAGCTCGTCGCGCTGCAGCAGCTCCTCAGCCTGGATCAGCAGCCGCAGGCCCTGCTCCACCTCAGCAATATGCAACTGGTGGACCTCAGGCCGCTGCTCACGTCCGCGCAGCAGGAGCGGGGGTAGCAGCCGCCGCCACGGCGCCACCAGCAGCAGCCGCCTATGGCATGCCACCCCCGCCGCCAGAGCAGCCACCGCAGTTTGGAGAGCGCCGATTGCATGCAGATATACCTCGCCATCATCACTACCTGGGGGAGGAAGGCTGATGGCTTTTTAGAACAAACAATGACACTGAAGGCGTCCAGAAAGCTTGAGTTTGACATCTTCATCTTGACTGACATTCATAAGTCTGGAGGGAATTTGTCTGGCCTTCAGAAAAAGATGATGAAGCATTCCTGCGAAATCTACGCTTGTCCAGCGTCACCTAGAATAGAAGGAACACACGGAGGCGCCTTGGTCGGAGCCAATATGCAATGTCACTCGCACGCTCGCTTCACGGGAGAAAACCATTGGTCACGGGATCTCAATGAACTAGTTTCGCCTTGAGGCTCCAAGGAATTGATATACTTACCCTGGGGATGTATCTGTGGGACTCCATAGGCTACGCGGGCGCCAATGTTGAGATCATCCATGAACTGTTCACCTTCATTGAAATAATGCGCATGCCGCACATCCTTGGGGGTTATTTCAACATGTCTGCCTGAGACCCTCGAGGGCACAGGTAGACTTCGGCAGATGAATGGTATGATTTCGCTGGCCA